ATTTATTTCTTCAGAAAAATTTATCTGGCTTTCAGATCATGAACAGGAAAAATTCAGTGTCAATGTTCATTTCTTTTTTTATGTTGCTACGTAATTAAACTTTGTTTTAGGCAGTGTTGCTGCCTTAAGTATGTCCCTTTATCTTTTGAACAGATGGGCCAGTTTTATTATTCTGCTAAAGCTTTTGATGTCCTTGAAAGATTGGATCCTAACCCTGAATATTGGGAAGGCAAAAGAGGAGCCTGTGTTGGTATCTTCCAGATGATTGTCGCTGGCAGAGAGCCTAAGTATATTCACTGAGTTTCTTTCTACTACTTTGGCTGCTTAATATTACAGTATTGTTCTTTGTTACTGAATACAAATGCCAATTAGAAACTTAAGGAACAGAAAGCATTTAAGTTTTGATTCTGGTAAAGTATGTATTATGAATGGAAGCCTTACCTTTATTAAAGTACAGGTAGTCCTTGAGTTACAATAGTTCGCTTAGTGACAGTTCAAAGTTACAACCCCCCCCGCCCCCAAAGTGTTCACTACCCAGGCCTGAAGTTATGTGTGTTGCAACACCGTGGTAGTCATTCACCCTTATGACCAACCACAGAGCTGCTACAACATGCCTACCTATTTCCTCCCAATACTGCCTCACCAGGTCTCCACAAGAACTCAACCTGCTTTGCTAGCCTACCAGGTTCCACATGCTCCTCCCCACCTTGTCACCGATTGCTCACTTACCTTTCAAAGATCTCCAGCATTCCAGACAGGCTGGGCCATATGACAGAAAAGCAGCCATCTCAGATGCTGGCAAAGAGGACAGGATCATCTGTAAGAATGCAACATCTATCACATCCTGCAGGGCTTGTTTAGTCCTGGCCTGGGTGGCTCTCTGGGCGCTCTCTGCGCACTGCTGGATGGCTGGTTCAAATGAACTGTTTTGGACATTGTGGTGTGAAGATGGCAGTGGCAGCCAATCAATTAGGAGGTGGGCTCCTCGAGAGTAAGGCTTGGGGCTAATTGGCCACTCCCTTAGCCTATTTAAGGAGGAATGCTGACTGAAGCAATTTGCAGGTAACAACTTAAGCCTCAACTCAAGCCAGTTCAGTGCAGCCATCGGGCGCCATCCTAGAAGCCTCACACACATGCGCTCACTCATCTCCAGTAGTGCCTTGGATGCTGGAGCCCGGGGTGCGCTCCCTGGCGATGGTGGACGGGCGCTACCACAGCTGTGTTCCTGGGAGAGTCATTGTCTCGTCCTCTCCCTTGGGGCAACTCCCACAGCCTTCAGATGCCCCTCTGCCCATCCGATCTCCCACAGGACATACCCAGCAAATGTGGGGCAGACAGCGCACCAAGCTCTCCATCTCTCCATTTGCTTCTGTAACACTGCAATTGGTGAGGTCCGTGCAAGTTCACCTCTCCATTATGTGGCAGAGCAAATAAGGGCTGCAGAGACTATGGAGACAGGTGGAGAGATGACAAGCTTGGTGCACCAGCCATCCCATGCTTGCCAGGCATGCCTCGGGAGATCAAGCAGGCAGAGAGGCATCTGTGGCTCATGGAGGCTGCCCAAAGGGAGAGGATGAATTACAGGGGGAAAAATTAACTCAACAGACAGGTTATACAGCCAGGGGAAATAAAAATAAATAAGTTTGAAAAATTAAAATTAGCTGGTCAACAGAAAAGTCCCTGATTTAAAAAGGTGATTGCATAAAAGGCACCAGAGGAGTAAAAAGAACATTCTTATGTCACAGAATTTCTGGGAATAGCCATAAAGAATGTCCTCTCTCATTTACAGGTTACTCTTAATATTTTTTAACTAGAAACATCTGTATATAATCAGCAAGATTGACATACATTTAAAAAAAAATTGGTACTACTGAAGCTAAGCCAAACCTAGGCTACCCTCACTGTTAATCCGCATAGACTGCCTGATGTCCCAAGGGTGCTTTTTCAAGAGGCAACTGGATTTTCTGGTTTTTCTTTGAAGACATTTTGCTTCTCATCCAGATTCTTGGATGAGAAGTGAAACATCTTCAAAGAAAAACCAGGAAATCCAGTTGTCATTTGAAAAAGCATCTTTGGGACAACGATGACTTGGATGATTGAGAATCTCCATAGACATTTAGACTGCCTGATGCTAGACTTTTTTGAACCTTAAAGATATCTCTGATCACCAGAAGCAAATAATTCCCTGGAAAACAAACATTTCTGGACATATTTTATGACATAATAGCCCATGTATTGTATTGAAGACCAATTGTATGATTGTCAGATAAGATTACAGTGGACAAATTACTTGAACCCATGAAAAGATGTTTGTAATTACTAATAGTGATAATAACCATACTTGTATATGCTGCCTTGGGCTCCTACAAAAGGTGGGATATCAAATAAATGTGCATCGACAAATAAAAAGGATCCTGGACGATCCTTAAATTGTGAACCTGGATCATCCCCAAACTATCAATAAAAGTTTCCAGACAATTTTCTCTTTCAGTGACTGCAATCATACACCCATGTTGTTTCTCTTGCAACATTAGAAAGGGATTGCTGTTGCCTTCTTTGGGATTATTTTTTTTACTTCCCAGTTGACCAATATGTAACTAATATGCAAATCGATATTTTTCTACTTCATGCTCCAAGATGGCTGGGCATAGGATTTTTCTCAGGATGCTAAACAAAAAGTAATTAAATTGAATTCCACTTTATTATCGCAGTATCAATCAAAACATATATTTGCTCTTTTGGCAGAACTTAATCTATATTGACAGTTTTAATATAAAATTTCTTTCCCTCTGTTCTGTACTTTAAAATTGAAAATTTTTAGAATGCAGAGAAGAGGAAGAAATTTTAAGCACCAATATAGGGTGAAAATTGGAGAAATCAAATCAGCATCATGGACAACCATTTACTCCTATTGAATACATACTAATTTATGGGGCTGAATTTTGGGCTTCTAGTTCCTAGCAAATATGATATATCACTTTCTCTGGTTCCTATATGAAATTTTCTTTTATCCATTACTTGAAGTCTGAGAAATTTAGTTTCTAGCAATAGGACTGAAGAAAATACTTCAAAACTTCTCAGATATAATATACTTAGAAGTTGTCCGATATTGTCTGATCTATTCTTTCTCTTTTTTTTAAAAAAAAATCTTCATTTCTTTCCTTTTAGAGATACCCTAAGGGAGGTACTACATCTCCTGAGAAGTACAGGCAACCCCCAGGTAGAGTACATTGTACGTATAATAAAGAAGTGGGCCAAGGAGAATAGAGTTCCTGTTTAAACAGTGTGATCAAGCGAATGGAAGTCTGCCATCTATATTGTGCCCAGCTGGAATACTGTGTCATTTTATAGCAGAACAATTATAAAAATACAAATCTATTTATTTTTATATATATTTAAATGTCTTTTATGAAAACTATGCAATGTCATGTATTGTGAGGAGAATCTCATTTTGACTCTATTATACTTCTCCCAAATTTTATTTCATGTTTATATTACTGACCTCTAGCTGTACATATTAGCTTTAATCTTCAAAATGCTTTCATTCTGTGACAATCAGTACTTTTTTGAGACAGTTCAAGAACTTGCAAAATACAGATTTTGCAAGGTCTTATTTTGAAGCAGAATATAAAAAGAGCTCTAGAATTAAATTTCAGATTTTAGTTATAAAAGTTCCTCATAAAGAATCTGAAGCTAAATACTTAAAATGGAACACAATAAGAAAATGACAACCTGATTAGTAGTTTTCATTATTATGATCTAATGGACATAAGGAGAAGTATTGTAAATAAAGAGATAATGATTCACTTTCATTTGCATAAAAGATTACTGTTCATATCTTCATCTGTTTCTATATTTTTCTTTCTGATTAAATTAGGGCTGTAAACTTGTCATTCTATGATGAAAGGTGTTTTTTAGTATATTGGGAAAGTTAAGAGTTGGTTTCAGAATACATGTAATGCCTAAGGAAAAATGTCTAAGACGCAAACATTGGAAATCCATGTACTTGTACATGTTGTATGTAAATAATATATGTTGATGCTGTATGTTCATTACAAGTTTTTTTCAGTCTCTCCTGCATTTAATTCTGGAGCAAAATTCCAAAATAAATTCATTTATAAAATCACCTGTGAATTCTTGTTTGTTCTTTGTATATGCCATATGGCTAGGTTTGGGGTTTGGTTATTTTTTAAAATTCCTTTCTTTTTTTGTATTAAACCGCTCAAGGCCATTTTGTAATTAAGCAGCATATACATTGCAAAAATAAATGTATTACTTTGTATAATTGGATAGATTCTATGTAGTTAAACCAAGAAGCTTTATGCCTTACAACTTTGTCTCTGAAATTAGATACTAAAAGGAAGAAAGAGCTAGATATAGCCTCTGCTTTGTGTTAGCATTTCAAATTTTTTAGTTTCCAGCTCAGATTTAAGTTTTGCACTATTTCCAGGTCAAATGTACTAAACAAGAAACATTTTTTAGGATGGTCAGTTTCTTTGAATTGCACCTTAAAAACAAATAATGAAAGACGGTGTTTTGTAATTAGTTCATGTCATGTTAAAAGGAAATTAGTATTAAATAGGAAGAAAATCATACACCAAGGATAGAACGCTCACAACTTTTTCAGGTACTGAATGGTTTTTATGACCATCTTCATTTGCTGTAAACTAGAAAAATAATAATAATATATGAACAGGAATGAGCACGCTTGGTAGTTGCCGCATTAGCGCCGCGTTCCTGAGGAAATTAACTTTTGCCCGGAGCCGCCAACAGAAAGAAAAGTGCTCATTCAGAACTCTTCGCGAAGACTTTTTAAAAGTCTTACGATTGTACGGCGTACGCATTTCCAAGGCAACTGTGGGCGGAGCCATGTCGTCTTCAACGTGCGATCGCGGTGACGTACTAAAAAAAAACCCTAATCTAGAACAACAATGACGTGTAGCAGCGCGTCCGTGGAGGGTTCTGCCTTTGCGCATGCGTGCCTTAGTAGCCTGCATCTATTTACGTGGGGGGGCTCCAAGATGGCAGCGATGTTATCGGCAAGGAGAGGCTAGTGGGGAAGAGGGGAGGTACTCTGACCTGGTTAAGGGGGAGGGAACGGGCGGAGGAGGAGCTGGGGGTTGTGGGTGGCGAGGTTGGGTCACCGAACAGGTGGGAAGGGGGGTGGGGGGGGGTGGATGATGGCGGAGCCGCGTCGGGTGCCGTTCATTAGTCTGTCACCCGTGAGGCGACGAGAAGGTGAGTCTCCGGTGCTAGAGCGAGAGACTGGAGGGGGCCGCGAGCCAGAGCAGCCATTAGCGCGTGAGGGCCTGAAACTACCAGATCAGCAGGAGCACCACCACCACCACCCCTATGAGAACAGTCGGGTAGAGCCGCCATCGCAACCCTTTGAATCTTGTCCTCGGCCAGAGTCTCATCCTGTGACATTACCGCGGGAGATCAGTCGGCCTGAGCTGACACCAAAGCCGCCTCAGCCGCCACCCCAGCGAGAGTCCCCAAGGCCAGAAGCACCGCCGCTGTCGTCTCATCAGCAGCCAAATCAAGAGAACAACCGACAGGAATCGCCGCCACTATTGGATCAGACGGTTCGCTTTGAGTTGATCTTGAAAGATCCCACGGAGGAGAGCTGCGTGGAGTTCAGCTATCCCGAGTTGCTCTGGAGTGGCAAGGCCCGGGTACTAGACCTGCAAACGCTCGCTCTTTATCTACCCTTTCTGCCTCCTATTTTGTCAATCTTGTCCTATATGGTTCTGTTAGCATAGTCCTTAGCTTGAGTGCTGGAGGAGGAAGGGGGGAGGGGAATAATGAGAAAGTAAAGGGGTTTAGCATTAGAAAAAATTCCTATCAGGATGGATATAAGACCAAATTGCTACTCTTGATTCAGTCAAAAGATGGTGAACCTATAGGAGCTGGATTTTCTACTGGTCTTTGAAAACCCTTTGATACAAAAAGAGTCGAAAGCAAGTAAATATATCTCTGCCAGAAAGATTTTGTTAGAGTAAATTAGTTTTTCTGTTGTGAATAAGCATAAACCTGTGGTTTTTATTTGCAGTGTTCTTTCAATATACCTTACAAGCACTATTAATGCCTGTACATCATTAAGAGATTTGAAGATTTACATAGCAGTGGTGTAAAGGCAAGCAAAAATGGGCATTTCTTTTTTTACAAAGTCAGGATATTGGGAAAACTTGCTTGTTGATATTGTCATAAATAATTTCAGTAAATTTGTGACAATGTGGCAGTAATGCATTTAGAAATGTTAATGCAGCCTAATTCATAGTGACTGAGGCCTTATGCAGTCGAGGTTTTTTTGTTTTGTTTTGTTTTGAGAAATGGGCCATCACTATATGTAACCCACAGTCCCTTTTATGTTACTCAGAATCTAAAGTTAATTAAAATATTCTAAATTATTTTTTCACTTATAGGGAAGTCTACTATGTGAACAAAATAATATATTATTTTGCTATTTGTGGATTAAAAATAGAACATTGCAAAAAGAAGTCATTGAATTGCTGACAATTATTTTTTAAGTGTTGATAAGATCTGATTTGTAGTCATTTCTATTATACTACACAATAATACTCAATACTATTACCAAAATTAACACTATACTACCTACAATTTATCATTAGGAAATAACTTTTTCTGTGATTTTTTAAAACAATCTTGTTTCTCTTTGTATGTTGTTGGTTGGTATTAAGAATTCTACCAATTGTCCCTCATCCGTCTTCTGCTGTTATATTATGAAATGTAGTACAGATAGTCCTCAATTTACGGCCACAATTGAGCCAAAGTTTATGTTGCTAAGCGAGACATTTATTAAGTGGGGTTTGCCCCATTTTACGACCTTTCTTGCCACAGTTGTTAAATGTATCGCTGCAGTTGTTAACTTAGTAACACAGTTGTTAAATTAATCTGATTACTCCATTAACTTTGCTTGTCAGAAGGTTCCAAAAGGGATCACATGACCCTGGGACACTGCCACTGTCATAAATATCAGTCAGTCGCCAAGCATGTTAATTCTGATCACAAGACCATGAAGATGCAGCAACATTCATAAGTGAAGAATGGTCATAAGTCTCTTTTTTCAATGCTGTCGTAACTTTGAATGGTCACTAAATGAACTGTAAATCAAGGATTACCTGTATCCTCTTTTGCTAGATTTTTTTTTTCTTTTTGTTGCTATAATTTATCTTTTTCTACATGGCATTGCCCTTGGAGTACTGCAGGCCAACAATAAGTTCATAGCAATTTAGATGTTTTACTTGAAGGTATATTTGATTATTGTGAGATTTGTATTAAAAGGGAACAAATTAAAAGCAAGTAATGATAATTTCTGGATCAAATGCAAATATGCCCATAATTATTCAAATCACATTTTGCAGGATTGCTAGTCTCATATATCTATTATCCCAGGTTAAGACAAATAGGTCTTAATCCTGGGATAATAGGTGAAATAGTCATAATAGATGAAAAATCTAGGTGAATACAAAAAATAATATGTAAGTAATACCGTGTTTTCCCGAAAATAAGACCCTGTCTCATATTTTTTTGAACCCTGAAATAAGCGCTTGGCCTTATTGCCATGCGCTCAAAAGCCCGATTTGGGCTTATTATCGGGGGATATCTTATTTTGGGGGAAACAGGGTAGTGTGTCTCTAAGTATAATTTTATCCAAGTGCATTCTGTTCTTATGCTGTTCTATATATTTGGGAATGTGAGGCTACTGAACTTTTGTAAATCAGTGGATATCCAAATACCATACTACCGATATTACAGCTGCTATTACTAGTTCAGCAGAGGACTTCAGTTAGTTTCATGCTTATGAAATTGATTCATGTGGAAGTTCCAAATCTGTATTTTACTTTCTCAGTGATGATTTATAACATAAAATGACAGTTTGATTACCATGAATGTAGATATTTAAAAGCATTTCTTATATCAATATATTGTTTTATATTAGGAACACAGATAAGATATTTATTTTATTTTAAGGTTTAAAAAGTCTTATTTGATTTAAATAATTTATGGTATCTTAAATTGCATGGCTGCGCAACCTGAATCCTCAGAGTTGCATATGATACACAGATCTTTTTTGCTGGTCTTAGAGTCCATACATTTTCACAGAGATAAAAAATGAACATGAAATAATATAAAGTAATAAATTAATACATATTAAAGAAAATAATATGTAGTGAGACAGTAGAGAAGCCATAGGTTAGTGATTTATGTGAGTCAAATATGGTTAGATTCACATAATAAACCAATGTTAAATTATTGGTAGTTTAGTACAATATGTTAAATAGGCCATAGGGCTTGTTTTTTCTACTTTGATGAGAAAGCAATTAAAAGAGATGGTAAGCAACATCTAGTCATACATAGTCACTCGTCTGCAAGATTGATTCTGATTCAATAGATCATTGTTAAACACTAACAGTTTAATGATTGACTACAGCCATTGAATTTAAGTCTATATGCTTGGAAAATGAGAAGGGCACATCCGTTCTTGGAAATACGGTTATATTCTGTTTAAAACAATTTAGCTGTGGATTAATCTGGCTTGTTTCAACAAGTAAGGTTTTAATATGTTAAACTATGATAAAGATAATTATCATAGTTTAGCATACTTAGCATAGATAAATTACATTTGGAGTACTGTGTCCAAAGTCCTCACTTAAAAAAAGATATAAGATTGAACGAGTCCAGAGATGGGCAATAAAAATGGTGCAAGGTCTGAGGGGGAAAAAATTAGGGGAGATTGGAGGGACTAGATATGTACAGTCTGGAGGACAGAAGGGAAAGAGGGGACATTATTGAAACCTTTAAATATATTAGTTATAAATAAGGTTCTAGAAGGCAGTATTTTCAATATTAAAAAAGCAACATAGGGGCATAACCTCAATCAGGCGCAGGAGGCAAGTTCACAAGTAATATTAGAAAGTATTACCTCACAAAAAGTAGTAAAGGTTGGAGCCAACTTGTGGAGGTAGTGGATCAATCATCAGTAACTGAGTTTAAAAATGCTTGGGAAAACATGTCCATCGTCCCAACAAAATTTTTAAAAATAAAGTAATTAAAAAAACGTCAAAGGGCAGACGTGGGCCAATAGATCTTTTTTTGCCATCAGGTTTCTAAATAGAAGTGAAAAATAATTGCTTTGTATCCATATCTAAAATAGTGGGAAACTCACTTTAGTACCTTTATAACAAGGTAACAGCCCAAGGCCCAATCTAGCATTTTGTTTCTCATAACTGCAAACCAGATCTTTCTATGGTGAAAGGCAGAAAATAGAAGTGTATGTGTCTCCTGCCTTGTTCTAGACGCAGTATTTGGAGGTATACAGGTTCCAGTGTAGAAATAACAGTAATGGTTATCCTTGATGGCCTAATTGTTCAATAGTACTTTGCTATAACCTCTGAACTTAAGTTTTAGACTAGAATTAGAATCACTATATTATATTGGGTCCTGATTTAATTAACATGGTAATGAAGGTGTATTATAATCCATAGCCATGTTTTGTTGCTGCTTTAACTCATCCAGTTGCTATGTGATGTGTGAATAAAACATAAGATCAAGATAAACTACAACATTGCGCTACAAAATTTCCAGTAGCAGTTCTTCTGTTTCTTTAAAAAGAAGAGGGAACTAGGGAAGGATTAACATTTCTCTCTATTTTGCATGATTACTACTACATCTGTAAAATTGGAAACAGTGAACAGAACTGGGGCTACTGATTCCGTTTAAATTAAGGTGATTGAAACAGGCATGGGAAGAGAGAATAAAATGTTGATAGGGCAATTTGTGGTAATCTACTGGATGCCACATGAATAAATCTCATGTTTGTGTGCAGTGGGTGAGTCAAAGTCATGTACTAATCTAAAGGAGTGAAAAGTTACATCTCTATGATGCCAGTTTCACTTCATTCAGCTACATCTCAAATTGTCCTTGTTATACCGTATTAGTTGATCTCACACTTTGCAATAACATTCAGTGATGACATAGAAGAGATTAGCCAAAGAATCTCTATTTTGCCTATATCTTGTGAATATGATTTGAATTTACTGAATTTAGTAACTTTACAAGTAATCTTTCTTTAATGCAGTTTCATTCAATTAGATCAGAAGTAATTGTGATGCTTTTTATTTAAAAAACTTGATATAACCTTCAATAGTTTTGTAGATAAATATGACTTTGCCTTTTTTTTGAATAGCTCTTGCTTGTTACTGGATAGATGCAATATATGAAATGTCAAATAGGAAGCAAGAATGCCAATTTAAAGTATTTCAGAATCACTTAGTGTGCTGCAGGAGATACAACAGGAAGGCAATACGTTGTAGAGTGATCACAATTTTTCACTGTCATCAGGCCAAGTAACAAATGAACTCTGTCATGATGGGAAATAGCTACTTATACCTCGATTTACAACAGTTCATTTCTTAGTTCAGTTAAGTTAGTTAAGACAGTTCAGTGTCTTAGTGTTCAAAGTTAAAATATCACTGAAAAAAGTGACCTATGACCACTTTTCACACTTATGCCCGTTGCAGAATTCCCATGGTCATGTGATCAAAATTCAGGTGCTTGGCAACTGACTCATATTTATGACAGCTGCAGTGTCTGGGGTCATGTGACCACCTTTTGTGACCTTCTGACAAGCAAAATCAAAGAGGAAGCCAGATTCACTTAAAGCTGTGTTATTAACTTAGTGATTCAACTGTAGCAAGAAAGGTCATAACATGGGGCCAAACTCACTTAACAAATGTCTCACTTAGCAACACAGATTTTGGGTTCATTTGTGGTCATAAGTCTAGAATTACCTGTATTTGTTCAAAACAATTCTAATTTCTATAATTGAGATAAATATTAATATCTATTAATCTGGAATATACTATTTAAATGATTGAATTATACTCCTTTTTTTCCCATCAAGTTTTTATTTTTTAAAAATTTATACATATCATGTGGATGGTGTGGTGTTTTGAGTATCATACATTTCAGTACAGATAAACATATTCATAATTATTACATTCCATTTTCCTTATTCCATATTATTTACCCCTCTCTTTTACACAAATTTTTATTTTCATATAAATATTAACAAGTATGCAATAATATCTAAACCGATATGCTTTAACGTCCACCGTGATGTTATTATCTTTTGTTATAATTTCAATAGTATAACAAGTAGAAAAAAATACGAAATTGCCCGTCTGTTTTCTCCTGTACACCATATTTTACCCAATTTTAAAATAACAATCCATCTCCTTTCCCCTTTTTTCTCCTCCCTCTCTTCCCTTCTCCCCTCTCTTTCTCTCTACTTCCCTCCTTCCTTCTCCTCTTTTTCCCTCTACTTCCTTCTCTCCTTCTCCGCTCCCCTCTCTATTTCCCCTCTCTCTTCTCCGCTTCCCTCTCCTTCCTTTTCTACACTTCTCGTCCCCTCCACTTCCCTCTCTCCTTTCCCCTCTCTACCCTTACTCTTTCTCCCCTCCTCTCCTACTCCCTTCCACTACACTCCATTTCCCTCTCTCTTTTCGTTGTTGTATATAATATTCCCAATACCTACAGGTTATGGTGTATTTTCCAATTAATATCTCTTTCAACTATAACTATACAACTTCTTAAAGTTACATTCAAAAATAAAAGAAACAAATTTAATCACTTAAACGTGTTATTATTATTATTATTATTATTATTATTAATAATAATATAATATTGATTAATCTTCATGTTAATAATTTTACACACATCATCGTTCTAATCATATATATATGCAACTACAATATTACTAACATCACTTCATTGATCAAACAGCATACCATTTGAATATCAGTTTCTTACATCCTAACATTTCAAGCTTACCACCATTTTCATTCTTCGTGTCTATTTTTCATGTTTCTTTTCCTTGAATTGAATTATATTCTGAAATAATGTTTGAGTACAGAAGAAAAACATAATTTTCAGATCTCAAATTTTATTTTCTGTGACTGTTTCTTAAATTTTTTATTTTTAGGACTCCTTCCCACTTTTAAAAATTATAGAAAATCCCAAAGGGGCTTTTGTTTATATTGGTTATTTTTATCAATATTTTCTGTATTAAAAATTAAAATTGACACAGTCATAGAATATTTATTTGTTGGATATGTAAAAGTAAGAATATTAAACCTGTTAGATATTATAATAAATAAAATATATCTCAAGGAAAACCCTATATTTTTTTTTTACAAAAAATGAAAAGAAGAATATTGTTTTTAATTTTTGTAAGTATCTTTAATATCTGCCAAATAATTTTGGTTTTTCATGGATCACATTTTAAGAAATACTGCTCTATAAAATCGTTTATTGACTTGATCTCTTCTCAGAGTTTGTAAAGTTCTAGTTTTAGTCTTCACTTATGTTATTAAGTAATAGCATATTTAATAGATGGGGTTTTAAAATATTCTGTGTTAAGTTTGTAGAAGCATTACGTTTGGTAAGTCCTTTTATAGGTAGTTTAAAGCAGTGGTGAACCTTTTTTAACTGAATCATAAGCTTTGAATGGCATGAAATGGGACTATGATTAAAAACAAATGCATTTACTAAATTCAGTTAATATTATTCTCTATATGTTTGTTTATTTATTTATTTCATGTATTTATATGCCGCCCTTCTCCAGAAGGACTCAGGGCGGCGAACACAAGTTAAAAACATGCACAACAAAATCCCATTTTAAACCAAATTAACTAATAAATAATAAATAATAAAACCCAGAATCAGAGTCAGCCTATTTGCTTGAACAGCCAATTTCCCCAGTCTCTTGCATTAAAATTGCAGTATGGCATTAATAATTGGGGTTTAGGGTCACAAATTGTATATCATTGATTAACATGTCTTACTGATTCCAAAAGGATTTATTTAAAGTGAGCTGTTTATTTTATTTTATTTTATTTTATTTTATTTTATTTTATTTTATTTATTTTATTTTATTTTATTTTATTTTTATTTATTTAATTAATTAATTAATTTGTATACCGCCCTTCTCCCAAAGGGACTCAGGGCAGTGAACAGCCAAAAATTAAAATACATACAATACAAAAGTTAAGATAATTAAAAGAGATTAAATCAATCGGCCACCCAATTTAAAACCCCAAGTCTATAAAATTAAGTTTAGTACTGATGCATTAGATATTAAACTAAACATGTTAGGATTCTGTTTGCTTTTCCATTTAAAGTTGTAGTCCTAGATAATCGCTCATGTACTGCAGATTTAAATATTAAAAGTGATTGGTTTCTTGTTTTCTCTCATCAGAAAAAATCACTCATTGAAGACCCATTTGATAATGAAGAGCATGAAAGGCATGAAGTGGAAATGCTGGCTAAGAAATTTGAAACAAAATATGTGAGCAAATTTGTAGAAATTGTTGCTATTACAGGCATGAATCCTGATAATTTTTAGTTGCTTCTAACATTGCTTTAAGTGACAAATTTAGCTTTTTAAAGAATTTTGTTTTAGTTATGGTAACACATCCACTGTGTTTGCTGTCTAATCATTCTGCTTTTATTCATTTCCCCCAGAAGGCAGGGACTCTCCTGAAAGAAAAATAATTCTGTTATGTCTAAACGCAATTGCTGACTTTTTCTTAAAATAGCCTAAGCTAATTTCAGTTTCTGCATTCAGTCTTATTCATTATAAGAACATAGAACATCCGGTTAAATATAGGTCTTAATTTATTTCTCTTGGTATCTTGCTATCTTATTTGCCAGAGAAACAAAGCAGGAAAAATTGGTGAACTTTTTCTTTTCCTGTTATCCTATAATGCTTATACGCTTTGTTTGTTTATTTGTTTGTTTGTTTGTTTGTTTATTGTGAGAAAAAAATTCCTCTAAGGTATCAGTCTTATTTTATAGGGTGGAAAGATCCACAAACATCGGAAGGACCGAGCTCAAGATCTGATAGATATGGGTTCTGGTTATGATGTAAATGATCCTTTCATCGATAATTCAGAAGCTGTAAGTAAAACTTATATGCATATTGTATCTTCTGAGAGCTAAAATGTACAGTGGTATCTCGATAGTCATCATTAATTGGTTCCGGGAGGCGCAATGAGTACCAAAATGATAGGTACCAAACACTTTTTCCATAAGGAATAATGTAGTGAGTCACCAGGCAACTGACACAAGTCTAGCTTGTGCGTTGAGTACCAAACAAACAATGAGTACTGAGACAAAATGTTAGTGTCCAAATGTGTTGAGTACCAAATTCTATCAGTTTCAGAGCAATTGAGTACTAAGGTACCACTGGGTATCTGATATTCTGGGGTGATTTCATTTGGACATTAGGCTTTCTTTTTTCAGTTTAGAGATAGGACTACATGAAGTATTTTTGGATGATTATTTAAAGCTGGGTAATTTAAGACATTGCAATATTTACATTTGGACCCAACATTAGGTATAGGATGATGGAATAGTCTGGGAGAAGAATCAGGAAATGCTGCATTTGCTTTGTAAATGCTTTTAATTTCAGTGCATGATAGATTGACTAACAATTGTGTTTTAATTTTTTAATTGATGTGATTTTTATACTTCATCTAGTATTAAACAATGAAAAAGGAGTACATTTTATAATTTATAATTCAGATAACTCTTAAATTTATTGGGGAAGCAGCATTAAAAGATGTTAATATATAAAATAACTTATTTGATTAGCCAAAGGCAGATGTCTTATGCTACAATTAGTCAAGATTATATTCTCTGTAGCAGTACGCTTCATACTAGATGTTCATCTTTGTAATATTAGTGAGATACACCCACACCCACACCCATACCCACAAACACACTTTTGCTACATATCAACACTTACCTAAAAAGGACAAAAATAAGGACAAAATTGTGATTATATTTGCCCACAAGTCCTAGTATTAATCAGTAAATGGCAGGCATTAGGAATAAATTTGAATATCATTTAAAAATTATTCTTGAAATTTCATTTTTGAAACAATATTTTCAGATACCAATTTTAGCATTAGTTAATGTCATCACTGAAAGCCTCCTAATTGCTGTTTAGATTAATTTATAAAATATATTAAAAAATGAAAAAGATATACCACATATTTTTCTATGTTGTAAATCTTTACACACTTTGATACTATTGTATTTTGAGGGTTGATACAGCACTGAATTAGAAAATCATTCCAGAAGTACATGCTTTGTGTCTTTATACTAATCAGAGTTCTGATATATTCATATTAGCCTTTTGTTGCATTGCAATAAAACTACTACATTGTTTTATATTAATACATATTAGTAATCTAAGGTTTAATCTTTTATATTCTTTGCAGTATGATGAATTAGTTCCTGCATCCTTGACTACAATATATGGAGGCTTCTACATTAATACTGGAATTCTGCAATTCCGCCAAGCATCTGATTCTGAAGAGGAGGATTTTACAGGAAGCAGGAAGCATAAACCATCTAAGGTGAGTAGACTCAGGAGGCGTTTACTTCAACCCTCTGCTCAGTGCAGGAATCCAAATGATAGCTTTTCAGTTGTAGGTACTATTAATTTTTTTAATATCAAGATTTTGCTTTTATTTATTCAATACATTTATTTGCCACACATCTCATTGTCAATGCAACTCTTAGCTGCTTACAATCCTATAAATTAAATAATGTATTAACCAGAATTAAAATGCTCATTCAATTACAGGCAGCCAATTACAGGCAATTGAGCCCAAAATTTATGTTGTTAAATATTTGTTAAGTGAATTTTGCCTCATTTTACGACCTTTCTTGCCTCAGTTGTTAAATGAATCGCTGCAGTTGATAAATTGATAACCCAGTTGTTAAGTGAATCTGGTTTCCCCATTGACTTTGCTTGTCAGAAGGTCACAAAGGGTGATCGCATGATCTTGGGATACAGCAACAGTCATAAATATGAACCAGTTGCCAAGCATCTGAATTTTGACCACATGACCATGGAGAAGCTGCAAAGGTCTTAACTGTGAAAAACAGTCATAAGTCACTTTTTTCAGTGCTGTGTAACTTTGAATGGTCACGAAACAGACTGCTATAAATTGAGGACTACCTATATTTAAGTTGTTATATGCTTCCTCCTCCCCTTTCCTTACTTGCTCCCTAAATTTTTAGTTTGGTAAACTAAAAGATGGTGATGACCGCAGTATGAAGAAACGAAAGCGAAAAGAAGAAGAGGCAGAGAAGGAGAAAAAGCCTCGGAAAATTAAAGTTACTAAGCAGTTGGGGTAAGTTTGCTAATACTTTCTTCTGACATAATACACTTTGTGAAATTGGTAAAAATGATGAATTAGTTGCAATAGTATTTCCATTGTGAGTTATTTAATTTAGTAGAATAAACGTAGATCAAGTGAAGTTCAGTATATTTTTCTTGACATGTTTTTTAAAATACTGTCATTAAAATGATCAGAGTTTCTTAGATTGCTGTCCCAAATCATATACAAGTATAATACTACTATTTGAATTAGTTTATTAAAAGGTGAGAAAGACATGTTCAAAAAATATTTTGCAGTTTTCCAGACTTATAAATTTGTGGATTGAAGAAAGTTAGTTACAACCAATGTGCTGAAATAATTTAAAATTAGATTATATTGTATTTCTTTCATTATTTTACATTGTTTACTATTTATTGATGTAGTTTAATCTGTGTAATTTACAATATTCTAGTGTTAACTAATACAACATTTTCACATTTTTAATTGAGATCCAAGTTAGACATTAATTCCTTTCAGTTACTTATATTGTTTTATTTGCAGGGTAATAGCATTAAATTCACACAAATCTGAAAAGAAGAAGAAAAAATTATACAAGGATTCTTTTTCATTGGCTGCTATGATCCGAAAATTTCAGAAAGAGAAAGAAGCCTTTAAAAAAAAGGAGGTTAACCTGAATCCCACAGTAGCAGCTACCTGTTCTACACCCAGTAAACTTCCTATGGCTCCTACTATTGGTGGTAGTGATGTGTCTGACTTGAATCTCAGCATTACAGATCCAGTCCTTTCTATTTTTGGCAGCACTAATGAACGTGAGCTCCTGCAGGAAGCTGAAAGTGCCCTGGAGATGCTGGGAGACATTGATTTTGATAGGTTGCTTGATGGTACCTCTGATGGAAGCCCGGTATCTGAGCCTTTAGGAGAAAATGGAAGTGTCACTCAGCCCCCCCATACTGCTGAGGTTCTGACACTGAAACAAGTGCCTGCCCTCCCAGAAGGTATACCAGGACATCTAGAAAAGCGTATTGAAGACCTTAGGATTGTAAGTATATATTTTTTACTGGACTTTCTAAAAAAGAACTATTAGAATTCATGTTATTTAAGGCAATCTTTGCAGTCACAATACTTTGCAAATTTCAAGATATATAGAGTACATACAAACTGAAATGAATGTTTGAATATTGGATTTTTGTTTGAATATTTGAATTTGTTTGAATGTTTGAATATTGGAGCTCTGATACTTCTTATTTCCTTTGAGAGATAGCAAATTACAGTCCCTAGTAGCGTACATTTCTGACATGTATGAAATCTGTATGCATGCTATCAAAGATACAGGTTAACCTAATCCATCTGTTTTTGTAAGGCTAAAATTTCGATAAATATATGTCTTCATTTCATAGAACCTATTTATGTGATCTGTATTTTCCTATTTAATAAAACTTTATTTGAAGGATATAACATTCCATTTTGTTAGGTGTTAATCTCATTCTATTGTGATTGATTTTTAAATACACATTAACCTATCCTAAACCATAAATATGCATGTCAGCATAGCCTTAGATCAGTGGTTCTCAACCTTCCTAATGCCGCGACCCTTTAATACAGTTCCTCATGTTGTGGTGACCCCCAACCACAGGGGTGGGTTCTAATTTTTTTTACTACCAGTTCTGTGGGCGTGGCTTATTTTGTGGGTGTGGCTTGGAGGACATGTGACAGGGTGGGCGTGGCTAGCTGGTCATGTGACCGGGTGGCCATGGCTATGTGTATAGGGACTACTCAGAGGGCTGAAAAAAGTCATTTCTGACAGGTCCTCGCACTTTTGACTGGTCCTCACACTTATGACCATCCTCACATTTATGCCTGTGCAGCATTCTTAACAACCATGTCACTCATTTCACAACTGCTTCTCTTCAACATGGTGATAAGATAGGGCAAAAAACGTAAAATGTGAGGACAGTCGTAAATTCGAGGACTGGTCAAAAGTGCGAGGACCAGTCAAAAATAACTTTTTCAGCCCTCTGAGTAGTTCCTGTGCACAAAAGGACTACCCAGAGGGCTGAAAAAAGTGATTTCTGACAGGTCCTCGCACTTTTGACCGGTCTTCACAGTTATGACAGGTCATCATTTATGCCCATTGTAGCATTCTTAACAACCGTGTCACTCATTTCACAACTGCTTCTCTTCACCATGGTGACAAGATAGGGCAAAAACGTAAAATGTGAGGACAGTCGTAAGTTCGAGGACTGGTCAACAGTGCGAGGACCAGTCAAAAATAACTTTTTCAGCCCTCTGAGTAGTCCATATGCATAAAAGGATACAGCAATAGAGAGGGATGAAGGAAGGGAAGGGAAATTAGAGTAGGAGTGAGGGTAAGAGAGGGAGGAAGAGAGGAGGAGAAGGAGAAAGGAAGAGGAAGTAGGGAGAAGAAGAAGAGGGGGGGAAGAGAAAGTAAGAAGGAAAGAAAAGAGAGAGGTGGTAGGTTTGAGGAGAAAGATTGCTGTACAATAAAAAAGATGAAAGGGAAGAAAGCCAACCCCAAACAAATATAAAGATATTAAGATAAAGAATGAATTGTTAAACTTTAAAGAATAAAAGAGAACAAATAGCAATAAATAGCAATAATTAGAAACACACATACAAACATACAATGTATTTTCTTTGAACAGAGTATTTGACCGGTTCACAAATTTAAACAGTTGTAGGAGGTTAGCACCCACCCCTTTCCTAGAAGAATGAAATATTAAAAAGGCAGAATATTATATTTCCCTGGATGAGAAATGGAGAAGCATATTTTACAGACAAAGCAGCTCCCACCTTCCTGCCCCCACCCTTTGTTAATGGGCCAGAGGCAGAAAGTCAATCCTTTGTCAAAGGACATTTGCAACACAATAGCAACAGAAACTAATACAATGGGCCCCATCTAGCAACCGAAACTCACCACACATGACCTGGGAAGCATGTGACCTAGGAAGCACATGTGACCATTAGCCAACAAGGGTAGCTAAAACCCCCACCCCCTGGGAGTCTGACAACCAGTCAGGATACTCTTTCGGGGCCCCAAGAAATGCAAAGCCAGAGAGAGCATAAAAACCCGAGGATTTACTGTATCTGCCCCTTTTCTGTTCAGGAACTCAAGCCATGTGATCCTGTCCACCATTAAACCATCTTTCCAAGCAATCTCCATGTTTCCAGTGTCTTTTTTCCCCACTTGGAGCAGAACCCAGAAGGATATTTCTTCCAACACAGTGTTTAGTCATTTCAATTAAATTTACAATTTCTGTATTTCCTTTTTACCATATTTATTCCTCATCTATTTTTTTAAAAAACCAATATTACCCTTCATCCTCATCTCTAATCTTAATCAAATTCAATTTTTCCCTTCTATTCTATATTATACCCCTTCACATTGTCATCTATTTTTATATCCATCCTCACATTGGTTAATTATGTAATTATGTAATACAGTTGTTTAATACAAATTCAACATTTTAATATAAATCAATTAGTTATATAACTATCTTTTTTGTATATTAATCAATATGAACATGAATATTCCAATTATTTCCATGCAATCCAGTTTCTTACAAATCAATTAATTATATTTACCAATAATAATAAACCAAATAATTTCCCCCCTATATTCCTCCAAACCACAACTTAACCATTTCTGCTTTCAACACAATATACAATTAATAGTATCTCAATTATTACAATTCCCTAGTTAAATAGAGCTTTTTTTCTTTTGTGTTTTAAAATCTTGAACCTCCTCTTTTGCCCTAAATTTCCCATTGTTTGAAGTTTTGCACCTACCTTTTTTGGTGAGGAAAAAAAAAGAAATCTCTCTGCCTCATTTTGTCAGGTTGCAGCAAAGACCCTGCTTACTTTCAATTTCGCTTTTTCAGCATAGCTAGGGGGAAAAAAATCTGCTCCAGAAATTTACCTCTTTGCAGCTAGCTAGCAACAGAGCCCTCCGCAAAATAGCTGAGAGTAGGGCGGCTCTTTGAAGCCCCGCGGCAAGAATTTAAAGTTTTTTCCCTCTAGCCATCAGCTGGGACTCCGGAGGCAGCAATAGATTGGGAGTGGGCGGGGTAAGCGAACAGTAACTGGCGATCCAACAGAGGCAGAAGGTGAGGGTGAGTGAAGGCGTGGGGGGGGCGACAGAGGGCTTTGGCGACCCCTTTGAAATGGCTGTTCGACCCCCAAAGGGGTCGCGACCCCCAGGTTGAGAACCGCTGCCTTAGATTTTAAAAGACAAGTATAAAAAGTGGAACGAGAGGCACATAAGTAAGGCAGAATATCAGCAAATAGCCCAAGCTGCAAAGATGAAGTGAGGAAAGCTACAGCTCACAATGAACAAAGGCTTCTGACAAAAGTAAAAAATAGCAAAAAAAACCTCCTTCCAAAATGTTAAAAACAAGAAAAAAAGTCAAGGAAACAGTTGGTCCATTGCTGGGAAAAAGTGGCAAGAAGGTGACAAGCAACAGGGAGAAAGCAGAACTACTTAACTCATTTTTTTTGCATCTGTCTTTACACAAAGGGAAAAAACAGTCCAACCTATCAAAAATAGCATTACAAAAAACAGATTAGGAACAAAAGTTAAAATAGGGAAGAAAATGGTAAGTGAGCACCTGTCTACCCTAGACGAGTTCAAATCACCAGGACCAGATGGATTACAGCCCAAGGTTATGAAGGAACTGGCAGACAAGATCTCAGAACCATTGAACTATATCTTTCAAAGATCCTGGAGTATCAGGAAACTGCCAGAGGACTGGAAAAGAGCTGATGTAGTTCCCATCTTCAAAAAAGGGAACAAAAAAAATAGATCCAGGAAACTACAGAGCTGTCAGCCTGACCTTAATACCAGGGAAGAAGATTTTGGAAAAGATAAGCAACCAATCAGCGAACACCTAGAAGCAAACAAAGTAATAACCAAAAGCTAACATAGGTTTGTCAAAAAAAGATCATGCCAGACTAATCTTATTGCATTCTTTGACAAAGTGACAAAATTAGTGGACCAGAGGAATGCTGTCGATATAATTTACTTGGACATTAGTAAGGCATTTGATAAAGTAGGCGATAACCTACTACTTGATAAAATAGAAAAATGTGAGTTAGACATTATCACCACCAGATGGATTCGTAACTAGCTGAGCAACCGCACTCAACATGTAGTCCTCAATGGAACTGCATCTACATAGAGGGAAGTATGCAGTGGGGTACCCCCAGGCTCTGTTTTAAGCCCAGTACTCTTCAACATCTTCATCAATGATTGGATGAGGGGATAGATGGGGAACTCATCAAATTTGCAGACAACACCAAGCTAACAGGAATAGCCAACACTCCAGAACATAGGCTTAAGATACAAAAGGATCTTGACAGACTTGAACATTGTGCGCTTTCTAACAAAATGAAATTCAATGATGAAAAAAGTAAGGTTCTACATTTAGGCAAGAAAAACAAAATGCACAGGTACAGTATATGTGGTAACTTGCTCAATAGTAGTAACTGTGAGAGGGATCTTGGAGTCCTAGTGGACAACCATTTAAATATGAGCCAACGGTGTGCAGCAGCAGCCAAAAAAGCCAACACAGTTCTAGGCTGCATAAACAGTGGGATAGAATCAAGATCACATGAAATGTTAATACCACTTTATAATGCCTTGGTAAGGCCACACTTGAAATACTGCATTCAGTTTTGGTCGCCACGATGTAAAAAAGATGTTGAGAGACTAGCAAGAGTGCAGAGAAGAGCAACAAAGATGATTAGGGGACTGGAGGCTAAAACATATGAAGAATGGTTGCAGGAACTGGGTATGTCTAGTCTGATGAAAAGAAGGACTACGGGTGACATGATAGCAGTGTTCCAATATCTCAGGGGCTGCCACAAAGAAGAAGGAGTCAAGCTATTCTCCAAAGCACCTGAGGGTAGGACAAGAAGCAATGGGTGGAAACTAATCAAGGAGAGAAGCAACTTAGAACTAAGGTGAAATTTCCTGACAGTTATAACAATTAATCAGTGGAACATCTTGCCTGCAGAAGTTGTGAATGCTCCAACACTGGAAATTTTTAAGAAGATGTTGGATAACCATTTATCTGAAGTGGTGTAGGGTTTCCTGCCTGGGTAGGGGGTTGGACTAGAAGACCTCCAACGTCCCCTCCAACTCTGTTATTCTATTCTATATACTGTATAGCCGTGATGGCAAACCTATGGCACGCGTGCCAGAGGTGGCACACAAAGCCCTCTCTCCTGGCACGAGTGCCGTCGCCCCAGGTCAGATCTCCGTGGCATTTCTTTCGTGAGCTTCTGTTTCCCTGCAAACACGAAACAGAAGCTCACAAAAGAAAAAGATCTTAACTCTTGCCGCACGGCCGGTGTTGGGATACCCCGCCTCCCGCCAGCCAGTTGGTCTTTGGGTCTCTGCTGCGCATGCACATGCATGTCCACGCAAGTACACCCATGTCCGCACATGTGCATGTCCATGCTTTTCAGTTTGGGCATGCGGGTGTGCAGTTTGGGCACTCGGTGTCTAAAAGGTTCACCATCACTGCTGTATAGTGTTTTTATTTCATCTATAAAATGAGATTTAGGTTTTAGAAAACACCTTGTTGGATATGAATGTGCAGTAAGTTCTTCTGTATGTTTAGTTCCTAGTTATTCTTTGTAGAAACCATAATGCTTAAAATTTATAGATAATCTAATTTTAATTGCATATTCAAATTCAATTGGAAAGTTTAAGAAGTTTTCAAAATAAAATACAACTAGGAAGATCTCAAATATTTTGTGTCCTATGCCAATATATTTAAATGAAGCCAATTGTTACTATTGCTTAAATAATAATATTTAAACAATATTAGTGCTTAAATATAGTAATTTTATCTCCCAGTATTAAACATAGTGAGGAAAAACAAAGTACCTGTGGTATTCTAGAATAAATACTTGGTACAAACTGAAGTAGCTTTCCTGAGATATTGAAAATATCCTATGATTACAATAGAGTGCAACTTGCTAAATTATTAAAATGCTGGGCTGAAGTGCATTTTTATTGTTGTCTCTAGGCTGCCAAGCTCTTTGATGAAGAAGGCAGAAAGAAATTCTTTACACAGGATATGAATAATATCTTGCTCGAGTAAGTGCTCATTTTGTTTTTCAGAAAAATATTTAGTTTAGTAGAATAAATGTGTTGAGCAATGAGTAGATTTCTAAAGTAGCTCATAAAAATCATTAGAATAGTGTTTATTTGTTGAAGAGTATACTTGTCGTCCCTTGGATATACAGTCCCTTGGACTGCAAAGCGATCAAACTGGTCAGTCCTAGAGGAGATCAACCCTGACTGCTCTTTAGAATGGAGCCCCCTCTGCTGAGTGTGCAAACAGAAGCAGATGGGGGCTCAGATATGACCCTTGGCTCGGAATGAGTGGGGTGACTTGCCTGCCGGGGAGGAGGGGGGCCACTGAGGTGGGGGAGGGGATCTCTGGGGTGTTGGAGAGCCGGAGTATTGTGGTTATGACCAGGAGAGGTAGATATGGCAGGAGCCGAGGGGTAGGCCGCTCTTGGGGAACTAGGACTCGCTGTCTTAAAGTGATTACTTGTTCCGGCCCCTCGGGTTCTGGTTCACCAGGTTCACCTCGTATACCTGGTGACTCGGGATGTCAGGGCCCTGGCTTCAGGCTGCTGCTGTTTAATGCCAGGTGTGGTGTTAACAAGGCCCCCCTCATTCGGGACTTAATCCTGGAGGAGGGGGCTCCTCCAGGATTATGGCATGCATAACTGAGACCTGGCTGGGCCAGGAGGGGGTGTGTGCCCCTCTCAGAGATGTGCCCAGACGGGTTCCAGATATTGCATCAGCCGCGACTCCAGGGAAGGGGTGGAGGAGTTGCAGTCATTGTCCGGAAGTGTCTTTGCCCTCGCAGGATCCCTGCCCCTGAGATTGTTGGGTGTGAGTCTCTCCTTTTGAGGTTGGACTCAGGGGTTCAGTTGGGTTTGTTGATGACGTACCTGCCTCCCAGCTGCATTACAGCAGTCCTACCTGTGCTGCTAAAGTGGTAGCTGGGCTGGCGGTGGAATTCCCCAGGCTTATTGTTCTGTCCCCGTCGCACGCACACACACAAACAGACAGCCAGGAGTTAATGAATCAAACAGTCAGGAATTCCTTTAAGATAACAGTCTTGGCAGCGAACCATGAACTGCCTGCCAAGAGATTTTACTCACTAAGGGAGGTTTTTTCTCCTCAGTCCGATACACCAAATTAATTCTTCAAAGCAAAGAATTGTCAAAGTCCAGTCCGAAGAAATCCAAAAAGAGATTCTAACAGGGTTCTAGAAACACGATATGACTTCTGAGCTTTTCAATTTGTCCGTCACAAGGCCTGAATAGCCGACACACCCCCTTTTATCCCTTGTGGGGTGTGGTCCAGTGACTCAACTCAATCTCTGGCCCGCCCACGCCTCTTTCTCTGCTGCACGCGCTTATCCTTCCGACGCTGTCTGGGATCCAGCCAAAACTCATCCCCCTCGCTCTCTATCTGCAGCTGCTCTGAAGTGCCTTGCTCCTGGCATATCTCTTGGCCTTCAGAGGAAACCTGAGGCATTGCCAGAGAGGAAGGTCCTGGAGAGGGAGGCCTTGCCAAATCCTCTCCTTCACCTTCTGAGTCCTCTCCCTCTGTTAGGACAGGCTCGGGGGTCAGAGTCACAACACTTATGGTACTGAGGAACTTCAATTTGCTGTCACTTGGCGAATCCTCAGATGCGGCTCAGGAGTTCATGGCTTCCATGACAACCATGGACCTGACACAAGTAGTTCAGGGTCTGACTCATGGTGGGGGGGACACACACTTGACCTGGTGTTTCTCTTGGGGCAGTGGAGATATGATCTGGAATTAAGGGGTATAGATACTTCTCCCTTGTCGTGGTCAGATCATTTCCTGCTGAGGTTAGACTTCAGGACGCTACTCCTCCATTGCAGGGAGGCGGAACTGATTAAGTGGTTCCGCCCCAGGCGCCTAATGGATACTGAAGGGTTCCAGAAGGAGCTTGCTGAGATACCTGACTCCCTTGTCCACAGTCCGGCTGAGTCCCTGATGGCTGCCTGGAATAGGGCGGCATCTGGAGCACTGGACCGGATTGCACCTTTGCGACCTCTCCATGGTGGTGGATCCAGGAAAGTTCCCTGGTTTACCGAGGAGCTCCGGGAGATAAAGCTCCAGAAGAGACGTCTAGAGTGATGCTGGAGGACCAGTAACTCCGAATCTGACCGAACACTCTTAAGAGCCTTTATTAGGACTTATTTAGTGGTGATACGGCCCCTCCTCAAGAGGCCTTCCCTGGATCCAGCAGAATTAAAGAACTTTCGTCCAGTCTCCAACCTACCCTTTGTGGGAAAGGTTGTAGAGAAAGTGGTGGCACTTCAGCTCCTGCAGTCATTGGAGGAAACAGATTATCTAGACCCTTTTCAGTCTGGCTTCAGGCCTGGCTACAGCACGGAAACTGCTTTGGTCACGCTGATGGATGATCTCTGGTGAGCCCGAGATGGGGGTCATGCCTCCATCTTGGTGCTACTTGACCTCTCAGCGGCTTTCGATACCATTGACCATGGTATCCTTCTGGGATGACTAAGGGAGCTGGGAGTGGGAGGCACCGTGTTACGGTGGTTCTCCTCCTATCTCTCTGGTCGATCACAGTCGGTGTTGGTAGGAGGACAGAGGTCGACCCGTGGGCCCCTCGTTTGCGGGGTGCCTCAGGGCTCAGTCCTCTCTCCCCTCCTATTTAACATTACATGAAGCCGCTGGGTGAGATCATCTGACGATACGGGGTGAGGTATCAGCAATGCGCTGATGATACCCAGCTGTATATCTCTACCCTGCGTCAATTCAGTGATGCGGTGGATGTGATGTGCTGGTGCCTGGAAGCCGTGAGGGTCTGGATGGGAGTCAACAGGCTCAGACTTAACCCAGACAAGACCGAGTGGCTGTGGGTATTGCCTCCTAAAGACTATGTTGATTGTCCATCCTTGGTTCTGGGGGGGGGGAGAAATTGTCCCCCTCAGAACGGGTTCGCAATTTGGGTGTCCTCCTAGACTCACAGCTAAGATTAGAGCAACATCTGACAGCTCTGGCTAGAGGGACCTTTGCACAGGTTCGCCTGGTGCACCAATTGCGACCCTACTTGGATCGGGAGGCTCTCCTCACGGTCACTCATGCCCTTGTCACCTCACAGTTAGATTATTGCAATGCGCTCCACATGGGGCTGCCCTTGAAAAGTGTTCAGAGACTACAGTTGGTCCAGAATGCAGCCGCGCGAGCTGTCGTGGGTGCACCTAGGTACACCCACATTACACCAATTCTCCGCGAGCTGCACTGGCTTCCTATTGGTCTCCGGTCACAATTCAAGGTGTTGGTTATTACCTTTAAAGCCCTACATGACTCAGGGACAGGGTATCTTCGAGACCGCCTTCTACTCCATAACTCCCAACGACCGGTAAGATCCCACAGAGTTGGTCTCCTCTGGGTCCCATCAGCTAAACAATGCCGGCTGGCGGGCCCGCGGGGGAGGGCCTTCTCTGTGGCTGCCCCAGCTCTCTGGAACCAGTTACCTCCTGAGGTCTGGACCATCCCCACCCTATTGGCCTTCCGAAAAGCGGTGAAGACCTGGCTTTTCCAGCAGGTCTGGGGCCGCTGATCTCACTCTTGTGATCCGGAGAGATCAGGCCATGAATGGTGTGAATGAGTTTTAATGTTTTTAATGTTTTTAATTTTTAAATGTTTTTTATAATGATTTTAAATGCATTGTGAGCCGCCCTGAGTCTTCGGAGAGGGGTGGCATACAAATTGAATTAATAAATAATAATAATAAATAAATAGAAGGCCAGATCCTGAAGATCAAATACTTTGGCCACCTAATGAGAAGGACAGACTCACTGGTGAAGAGCTAATGCTGGGAACGATTGAGGGCAAAAGAAGAAGGGATGACAGAGAATGAGGTGGCTGGATGGAGTCACTGAAGCAGTTGGTGTGAGATTAAACGGACTCCAGGGGATGGTAGAGGACAGGAAGGCCTGGAGGAACGTCCTTGGGGTCGCGATGGGTTGGACACAACTTCGTGACTAACAATAACAACATACTTCTTGTATTTAGGTTTTGTATTTTTTATTCATAATTATATAATATACTTGTTTAGCCATGTTTATGGTATGGACATTAATCACATAAGAGCAGCAAATAAAGCGGTGTCGCTTAAAACAACCAATCCTCAGATTTTTTTTTCCATAGAAAAAATGTAAACTTGCTTGAGAATAGGCAATAAGACAAGAGTCTTGTCCATGTGTTCCTTATTAGTTGTGAATTTGTTTTCTGTTCAACAGTATTGAGATGCAGCTACAGGAATTGAATCCTACTTTCCGCAATGGAGTGTATTCTCATCTTGAAGCTTTTGTGCCATGCAATAGGGACACATTGATAAAACGTTTGAAGAAATTGCATCTCAATGTCCAGGTAAACCTACCCAATTAAGATACATTTTAATCGAGACGCATCGTAGATGGGTCAGAATTGGTTCCCTGTAGAATGAAGCATTACCTGCATGTCAAGGGTGTTTGTGTCTGTATCTGTGTGTGTGTGATTATAAAAGATTTGTATCCCACTGTTTTTTAAATAGACTAACTTCTTAATGTGCTGTAAACTAGATCACATAATTTCTTTGATGATGATTGTTTTATTTTGAATTATTTTTATTTTTGTATTAATTTGTGAGTTACATTTCTAGTTCCAGGCTCTCTCATACAACTTATTTATTTATTTATTAGTCGCATTTTTATGCCGCCCAACTCCTGAGGGACTCTGATCCCCACTGATTAGAAATTGCAATCCTTTGGATAGACTTTCCCGAAGTAGCTTTTTTCATCTGTTGCTGATTTGTAACTATTAATCTAAAACGTATTTAAGAATTGTTGTGGTACTTTTAAAAATGTTGACTTTTAAAAAAAGATGACTCAATTGTGAATAAATTAAAATCCAATCATAATGCAATACTATCATAATTAGACAAGTCCATGATTCTTTTTGGACTTGCTGACTTGTTTTTATGCTAGATCTAAGAATGTACATTTTAATTGAGAAACACTTTTTTTAAAGCACTGTCAAGAAAATAAGTCTTTTTTATTTCCTTTAACTTACATGATGGTCTGGAAAATTTGGTCCATAAATTTCAAAATTACCTTATTTGTCTATTTCAAGTGATGGGGGGAAAGTACTTTGTCTTTTTTTACCTTAAAAAGATCCAGAAAAGGTAAGAACATTGCAGGATGAATTTTAATGGCTGGATGGAAGATGGATGGATGGATGGATGGATGGATGGATGGATGGATGGATTGGATGGATGGATAAGGAAGGAAGGAGAGAGAGAGAGAGAGAAAGAAAGAAAGAAAAAGAAAGAAAGAAAGAAAGAAAGAAAGAAAGAAAGAAAGAAAGAAAGAAAAAGAGAAAGAACACAATTTTTGTATAGCACATCAAGATCACTTCCATTATATTGGTCGAGAAGAGTCTGGCCATTGGTTTATTTCCCGCTTCCCTGCATGCCTAAAAAAACTTCATTTTTTTCTTACTAGAGCCTTTCTCTCTCACTATAACAAATTGGGAGTCGAGTGGCACCACTTCTTAATTAGAAGATATCTGTTTGATGAATGGATAAAATATTTACCAGGAGGCAATGTCTTTGTATTTCATACTCCAAATCCTTAGAAGGTTGGAGGAAACCAAGACAGTGTCTGGAAAGCAAAATATATCAGATGAATTCTAGGTGCCACTTGCATTTTTAAATTTTCAGATTTCTGTGTACATTCTCTCTCTCTCTCTGTTTTTTTTTTTTTTTGTTTTTTTTTTTTTTGTTTTTGCAATACAGTTAATCCCATCTTGGCTATGGAAGATAAATAATGAAAAAAAAAACTCTTTTATATTGAATACAGGATATACTGGCTATATCAAGTTGCTCATTATTTGTATCATTGTCATGGTCTGAACCTTTGTTCTTGAATTCTAGCCCTAGCAGCCTGACCATGTCTATTTGTCTTTTAATTGTCTTGCTGCCATACAATTACATTACTACGATGTTTTAAATTATTTTACTTTTTTATTCTATTTTATAGCTTGTAACCCTTTGTAAATGACTAAACTATACGTATTTCAAATAAATGAATAAACATGATTTGAAAACAGCAATATAGGCACAGCCCCTTACATCACCTAAGTTTAATTTAATTTGTTATGCTTCTCCTAAGACGGTTTGTCTACTGCAAACTTTATTTTCTTTTCTCTTCTTAACAACTAATAATGTTTTTATTGTTAAAAATATACATTAACTTTATTCTTCACAATATGAGACTTTAAAAAATACAATTGTTTTAGAGCCAAGTTAATTCAGAAAATGAAAAACATTGTAGACTGTTCAGGGAGAAAGCTTCAGAGATGCAGTGTGTGAATGTATTACATTGCTTGCATCACTGTTTTAATGGTAGTATCTTCTCAGGATGATCGCTTGAAGGAACCATTGCAAAAATTGAAGTTGGCTATCAGCTGTGTCATGCCTGAACAACTATTCAAATACCAGGAAGATTGCCAGGCACATAGTCAAGCCAAGAATGCCAAGTATGTAGGCAAACCAAACAGAGCTCTTTGGCCAATGGGGGGAGAGGGGAGATGAATGGGCAGTTGTCCTATTTTATTAGAAAATATGATGTTCCAGATGTGAGGAGATTATGTTTGCAATGCTATTTTTCTGCTTATATTATATATATATATATATGTCCCTTTTTATAGTACATTAATTCTGGGAATATAATGGAGCATTTATGGGATGGATATGTCTCTTGCCCTAAAAAGATAATTGATATCTGTCCATGTATTCACTTGGCTATTTTTTGTCTACTATCTTAGCAAAAGCAGCTCCAGAAGCTATTGCTATTGCTTGTGACAGGTTATATTTACCTAGATATCTATTTCTAGATTTTATCTGTTTCATTTTATTTTCCCCCCCAACATGCCCTGCATGCCTAGCTAGTACTGGAGTTGTAATTAAAAATCTTTAGCACAAGTGGGGATGACAGTTAATTTCTGTTAGAAAAGCTGTAGCCTGAAGTTCAGCAAACAGTGATGTTGCAATTTAAGTGGGGTCTGGCATGTAAGAAAAGAGCTGCTATTAGTGATCATTGTTTTATTTAGTCCTACAGCTAATTGCTGGATACATTAGTGCTAGCAAATAATCCATTTGAAATTCTTCAGGGACCATCTCATTAAAATTGCCCTGTTTTTAAATTTTCAAGTTTCATTTATGTTCTTGTCATTATAGGAGTAAACTCTTATTAATCTGTGGTTGCAACATATCAGAATGAGCTGATAGCGTATTTTTTGACTAAGAGACTTAAGCAATTTGATTAACAGCTATTTTGTTAGTTGGAAAAGGTGGTACCTCCTGACTTGTATTGACATACATACTAGCTGATAAGTTGTAATTGTATGAAACTTAATTACTTAATTAAGTTAAAACAGATTAACTTCTGACAAATCTTGCACCACTTATTAGTTTTGTAAATGTGGGACAGGACCAAATTGCTTTGCCACAGCTGAATTCTTAAATTATTTTATATGCCGTCATACAACTGACTCTTCTTGTCTTATGATCTTTCATATTGGTAGGTTTTTTTTACAATTCTTGCAATGAACTAAATGGAAATTGGCTCATTTCAGTGTCCAAGATATGTGTAGATATTCAGTGACTTTTAAGGTGATGGACTGCAAATACCAACTTCTATCTGGAATACCAAAACATCAACTGCTATAGGAAAAGGAGTGGCAGAACCTGAGGATGGAGTAAAAAAGGGATCGGTCTATACTCCCTATGTGGCCACAAGTGAACTAAATCCAACTGTCCTTGAATTGGCCCTTATCTAACACTAAACAGGTGTTAACCCTTTGTTGAATAGATTCTATTCGTAGCCATGATTAGCAATACATCAGTTTAATTAGACTTTCACACAGAGTCCTGATCTTTCCTGCCAGACAATTGCAAATAAGCAACCAGTAGATATCTGAGTCTCTCTGGCAATGTAACAATGGGGAAACAAGCTTACCTCTGTTTCTACTCTTTACAATACTGTGCTTACTCTTTTGCTCCAGAATGCAAGCAGAAGATGAGCGAGACAAGAATGGTTCAGAAGAGGAGGATGACGAGAAACCAGGAAAGAGGATTGCAGGTCCAAGAAAAAAATTCCACTGGGATGAGACAGTGAGGTGTGATACTATATTGTTTGATACTCCACTAGAGATATTCTAAGTTACCATAGCACAGTTTAATAAAACTTATTTCAGATCTATCAGGAAAAAATATTTCTTGGACCGTTTTTCCTGGGATGGAGCATAGTCACAAATGTAAATCTATAATAACTAATGCATGCAGTTCTGGAGTGGAAATGAACTGCATGGAGGTAAAACAGAAATAAGGCTTTTAATCTCGGTTAATGTGAAGCTCATCTTTCTTGCTAATTTACTTGTTCCTAAGTGCTATCTAATATTCACTCTGTAGTTTCCTTTCACTGCATAAGGCTTTAGACACTTGGCTATATTGGCATTCTTGTCCCAGAATCTTTGCTTTTATTTGTAAAATTAGTGTCTCAGTAAAATTCTGTCCTCAGTATTTGATTTGTCTTAGCTCCTATGTGAGGGATTATCAGAAGAGAAGTTAAAAGGAATGTCAAAGAAATTGAAATAATTTTGCTTTATAGGCTAGAAATCTGAAATGTGCAGTGGTATTTGCTTTACATTTTCCACCAGCTTTATGGGTATGGAGAAGGAAGAAACTCATTTTCATCTTCCCTCTTCAACAATGGAATGGGAATGGGAATGGGAATAGAATGGAATGCTTTATTTGGCCAAGTGTGATTAGACACACAAGGAATTTTTCTCCAGTGCAGATTTGCTTATCTTCATTTCTTAAACCCAATTCTGTATTTAAGTAATTCATACAGTTTCACTTAACAAATTCTCAGTTGTGGAAAATTAGTATCTACCTGTAGTAATTGCAGTGTTCTTGAGTAAGAAATGTCCAAGAAATGGAAATGCCTGTTTTAAGTTATAGAAAAAATAAGCCAGAATACAAGAAACTAAAAAACCAGTTGCATTATATCATACAGAATACTATGGTTAACTAAATGTTATTGTTGAATAATCCTATTTTTAGAGAAAATGTGAAAGGTAAATGAGTAACTTTGACAAGTGATGCTTGAGCCAGGTTTATTTCAACAGGACTTTGCTGTGTAACCTTGTCAAGATAAAGCTGGATTGTTATGAGCTAGAGCCAAATAAAAGTCAATCTGCAGAAGATTACCTCAAGACATTTATGGAGACAGAGGTGAAACCTCTTTGGCCAAAAGGTTGGATGCAAGCTAGGTATGATACCTATTTAAGACAAATATTCTTATTCAGATTTTATGATATATGATCAATTAAGTTTTGTCAGAATTCAAGTATATGCTTTTTTCAGATCCTGGTTTTAATACATTTTCTGAAATAGTGTATATGAAATCATTAATTAGTGTTAGAATTTCCAAATTAGTGTCTGTAGGCCTTAGAGTAATATCTTGATGCCCGTGATCCTCCTATTTATTCTCTTTTCTTTTTAATCTGGTAATGTTACATTGCTGGGAAAGTGCAAAGATGATCCAGCCATCAGCAAATGGAACTTGCTAATTGCATCCCATGGTGCTTAAAACTATAAAATAAACATAAGGCATTGTTTTCTGGAAAATCTAACAATGTAGATGGCCACTAAATACAAATAAACATTTTTTATATTGCAAGGGAGGGTTTTTGGGGGGAGAAGTCCAGGGAATATCTTGTTGATTAGTTTGATATCATTTAATTGTAGTAACACATAACCCTGGTTTGTGGTGGGCCTACATATTTTTTAAGACATTAAGTCAAATAATCTTGCTATTGCGGCAAAATGTGACACTGAGTGAAATGTGACTTACCCATCAAATACAAATAAATCTGTATTTATACAGCTATTCACAATGTAAAATATGTAAGAAAGTGGTATTCTTTTTAAAATGCGAGCAAAAAATTTTTGGTGCCTGAAAGCTACACAACATTTGAACAAGATCAAATGTCCCAATGAATGTGGTCGGACACCAATTAGTCTTCAAGGGCAACCCCTTGTAAAGCTCATTGCATGAATTCTGTCTGGAGATAATGAAGACAAAGATGACTGTTGTCAGAGTTTTGTACTCCAAAAATATATCACAGCTGGTCTTGGTAAAGGCATTCAGGTTTACGTCTTCATCTATAGATCCAAGTGTAACCATGAATTGAAGAGAAACACCATAATTGTAGCCCTGGGCCTCTCCAACTATGACTGCTGGACAGTCACTTTGCTCTAATGTTGTCAACATCAACATAGGAAATGAGATGAACCTCTGTAATTCAGTGCCTCCAAACAGCCATAGGTGATCTGAGATGCTAGCATGATCAGTGTCAAAACCAGCTAAGATCTAAGAGAATAAGGACAGCTACACTCTTGCTGTCCAACACGTAAGGGTAACCTATTGCTGTTTCTGGCCCATACCTGGATTTAAGTCCTATCTGAAAATGACCAGCTAATTAATTTTACCCATGATTCTTTGCCTTGGATTCCCATAATAATCTCCACGATGCTCCATAAAAATGGGAGGTTGGAGATTAGGCTGAAGCCATCTAATATGGGGAAGTTGGAGACATTGTTTTTCACCACAAGCATTCCAGACATCTTTTCTATCATTTCATAGGATCTCTGATCAAGGACAGATTGTTAGAAATCCATTCTTTTTTTTACCTTAGAAGTCTCTATGTTCTCTGTCTCCTTATTAATTTTATGGAAGCTACTATATTGCTGGAAATTAAGATTATTGGTGTTTATCCTTTTAAACTTTAATAATAGTTTAAACTTATCCATTTAATTGTTTAATTCATAACAGCTTGTTTTTGGTATAGATAAGAAGTTTAAAGATTTTTTTAAACTGATCTGCTGTATGGTGAACTATGCACAGTTGCTTTGAAACACAAAACGACATTCTACCTAACTCCTAATCAGCCAGAGTAATGGAGAATTTATGGTAGTCTCAGAATCGGATAAATTTTTATTTTAAAAATTTCTATTTATTGTAGTAATCAGAGGGTAGTATTATATCAGTGTGGAACATAATAAATTGCATTAAAAATAGACCTAAAGAATTAAATTTAGAATTTTGGGTGGAAAACTGCTATTAAAATAACAACAAAGTTAGAAACTTCTGTCTTTGGTCATACTGTTCTATTTTTAGTATATACTATTGCCCAAATGTAGCAAGGCCTAAAATATTTATGTTTGAATGGCTTTTTATGGACTTACAGAGCTGCTCATTTGGAAGATTAAAAACCAAAAAGCTTCATTCTCCAGAAACCATGTGGCCTGATAAGGTTAGGACAGGAACAGGAACAGGCTTTTTTTTTTTTAAGAAAATGGGCAAAAGAATACCTGTTCTTTTATACCTCCTCTTCTAGAAATGGTAGAAAAAAGCTGAATATTTCTGTTTAAATGTTGCTGAAATGGAGAATTTAACATGTGAGCATGCTTGATAATCCCTGCCTTCAATGTCACTTACACTGTTTGGCTATGAAAGGAAGCCTATGTGCATAACAGTATTAAGTGTTGATTTCCTTGTTAGCCAGAATCTTAAATGGGCGCTAAAATAATATCTCCTCTGCAGACATTTGTATTGAACCTAAATTCCTGCAGGGAAGCCAGTGTCACTAGAGCAACATTAACAGAATCATTTATTTCAGTAATGCCTGAACAGGGCTTCAGCTTTTTAAAAAACGAATTCTAAAGATTATAGCGCAAGGTTGAAAGTGGTTGTTAACCAGGTAGAGAGCAATACTGATACAAGAACAACTGGGAACTTGCAGAATCTGTTAAAAAATGCATGTAACTTTGAAGCAACTTTAATTTTTCTCAACTATTTTAATGTGCAATATTATTTAGAATCACAAGAATTGCAGGAATAATTAATTAATTACCCTTTTATTTCCCTTCAGTGCATGGGAAGAGTCAGTCTATGCAAGAAGAGCAGGTTGTTATTATTCATGTTCATGATGTGTATGATAAGGACTGGCATGTTAGGATATAAAAAATATTAAGTGCAAGGAATTCAGTACCCCAAATAATTATTTTGATTAGTTCTTTGATTTATAATGAAGGTAGTCTAGTACCAGCATACTAGCAATGTGAATATGTGTTCAGAGTGAACACATTTAAAGTGGCTTAAATTGAAAATGTCATTTTGATGTAACATTATTACAAATTATGATCAATTTATGAAACTTTCATAGCTTCTATTTGCTTCATTGTCTTGACTATTTCAGGAAAGTCAATCCAAATACATTTCAGTGTATTAATTATTAATCTTTCTTACTGCCTTGTTTCAATTGTTTGTAGCTTGATTGGGACAAATGTATACACATGTACACATCCACATGTAATCTTAACCCTTTTGAGGATTAGAAATTACAAATACTGAATTTAAAAGGTTGATTAATCAGTTGTATAATCGTTGGCCAAAAGTTTTATTCAAGAGTGATTAGATAACAATAACACAATCTTTAACCAACTATTAATATATATTTAGTGTGGACATATATTTGGCTCTTTATAACCAGTGAAACCTGTTTTCAGCCTGAAAGAGATTAGATGGAAAAGATAAATACAAGTCACAAAACTTTAGTCAAGGTAAGAAATTTAAAAAGCTTGGAGGTGGGTGGATAAGAATAAGCAGCTTACATACGAGAGTGTTCTAAAATTTGGGATTTTTCTTTATAGTGAGTTTACAAAAGTGTGTAACAGTAGCTATTATTAGGATAATAGAAACATAGTTGAACATGGCCATTTGGGTCAGTGGGTGATTGTTCCATTATACAAGTCCCCCCTCTGGCCATAGATGCTGATACCCTGCTTAAAGCAGGGATCCAAATAAAGTATTCCTGATAAATGATTTTATAACTTCTAACTGAATATGTCCAGCAGATTAGAGCTACTATCTCTTCTTAATCCTTAATAGACATTTTACAACTTCTACCTTAAAATCCTCTCACAATCACTTTTGTAAACATTTAGTAGCAGTTTATCTTTCTATAATTTAAATCTGTTAAATACTTTGGAATATAGACTAAGTCTCGGTATCCTTTTGATATTATCTCTGCTCAGTCTTCTCAAAACATAAATTGGTGTGTGGGTGTATTTTTTTATACAACTTACTTCTGGTTTGTTGGAACTCTTCTCGAAGGATAGCATTCAGAACTGAAAAATATTTGGGTTTCACCTATACAAAATAAAATAAAATTACTATTTTCTGTAATTTGTAAATTAAACTTTTCTTGACATAGCTTAAAATGATATTATCCACTCCCTTTTGCGTTCATATCACATTACTAACTTGCATTCAGTTTGTTGTAATGTTTCAAGATCCTAGTTTTGAAACATCAATTAATTTTACAAATGTTTCCTTCATTTAGAAAGTGTAGAACAAGGTCCTCAAACTTTTTAAATAGGGGGCCAATTCACGCTCTCTCAGACTGTTGGGGGGCAGACCAACTGGGTGGGCATGGTTAGGTGGTCATGTGACTGGGTCAGCATGGCCAATTTCGCAGTCCATTAAACAATACACACAAATTATACTTTAATTTGTTTTGCTCCTGGGGATATTTTATTTACTTTTGTTTACATGTTGCTCTTTTGGTTGACTTTTCTTTTTACTATATCGTTTTTTAAGTTGTTTAGGAGTCTGGTGGTCCACTTTAGGAAACCCAGTTTTGCAACAATTCTTCTCAGCCCCAAGGAGCTTACAGTCAACAAGTTTCTCTCTCTCTATGTCTCTTGTCTCTCTCTCCTTCCTTCCTTCCTTCCTTCCTTCCTTCCTTCCTTCCTTCCTTCCTTCCTTCCTTCCTCCCTCTCTTTCTCTCTTTCTGTCTGTCTGTCTGTCTGTTTGTCTCTTGTCTCTCTCTCTCTCTCTCTCCTTCCTTCCTTCCTCTCTGTCTCTGTCCCTCTCTGTCCCCTGGGGGGGAAGGAACCCCTGAACTGGTGCTGGGTGGTGGGAATCTGACGTCTGGAGGCCGATGAGCTGCGCACCAAAGACCAGTTGGCTGGCGGAGAGGCAGGGCAATCCTGCTGTCCCCCCAAAAGTAATACATCTCTTGTTACTTGAAACTTGAAGACTCAAGGCAGCATGAATGTTTGTGTTATAGCTGCTGGAGCTACTAAACAGCACAGCACTCTCCCCTGACGACTGCCCGCTTGCCCTCCCCTCTGCCTCGGGCCCTGCATCCAGCCCGCGGCCAGGGGACATGGCACTTCCTGGCTAGTCCAGTCGGCGGGTGGG